TTTTCACATCTTCTAGACGTCCCAAAGCTCTTCACAGAATATACTGTAAAGTGAATTGACTGTATATTTGTGGGTGAACGCGGCAGCCAATTGCGCACAGCAATGTCCCACAAACAGTCGTAGATTGAAAATGACCAATTTATTATTGTTTTGTTTTTTTGGAGGGATTATTATTAGGCGTGTGGAGTAAGGAAACTTGCCCAAGGTTTCGCCCTACCTGAAAGGTCTCTCACTTGCAAAGCAATTGCTCGTTTAAACAGGTCGCTTATTGTTCCCAACCGATCTTAAAATTTCAATTCTCAACTGAGATCATTCAGTATTGCTGCAATTCAATTCTCAGAATGCATTATTATTGTTTCATATACCAGGAGTGCATCGTAAATGCCTCAATCCAATTGAGGTGCTCAAATGATATCCAAGTTATGCTTACCCAGGAGAAAAGAGGCACAATTTTATAAAATAAAATAATACATTAATTGAAAAAGTCACCATAATTAAATTAAGAGAATGGGGTTTCTACTTTGTGAAATAAAAAAACAATAATCCTTACATTTGATATAGTGCCTTTCATATCAGGAAGATGTCACAAAACATTTCACAGGAAATACAATAACCAAGTCAGACACTGTTGTCAATCGATGTCCTCTTTCTGGCAAGATTTCTGAATTGTGTTTGGAAGCAGAATTCCTGGTTGACTTTCTTCCCTATAATCTAGAGGCACTGAGATCATTTGTAGCACCCTGACTGCTGCTCTGACTATGATTGGTAACAGCACAGCACTTGTAACCTTCTAATCTATGGAGTCCTGTAGCTCAGTGGTTGGAACATTGCCTCGCAAGCGGGAGACCTGGGTTCGATTCCCAGCAGGACGAAATCTTGGTAAGTTTGCTTACTTTACACGCCTTTGTTTACCTAGCAGTAAGTAGGAACTCGGTTGTTAGTCGATTGGCCGATCGCTCCTCCAGGGGTAATAATTTCTTCAAAAAAATAATAATTTGGTCGCTCAATCTGTGACTGTTTGTGGGGCACTGTTGTGTGCAATTGGCAGCCAGGTTTCACCCACAAAATATACAGTTAATTCACTTTACAGTGTATTCTGTGAAATGCTTTGAGACTCTCGAAGATGTGATAAGGCACTATATCAAATGCAAGGATTATTATTATTATTATCTATAGGGCAGTGTCTCTACCCACTAGGCCACTAGAAGGAGCTTGGAAGGGATCACTTTTTGTCATTCGTCTCGCTGTTTACTATGCAAACTAAAGTGTCCATTAATCATTTGTGGTTTAAGTCTCTAAATTAGAATTAAAGCAACTTATTTACATAAAGTTGAGAAATTCATTGACTGATAGGGAAGGTTTACAAAGATCCAGCATTTTATAACTAATCTTTATGGTGAAGTGACTGAGGCAATAGGACTCGGAGTCAATAAAGCAGATTGTAAAACACTGGAACGTGGCCTGAAAATACAGCATGTGGGTTTGTGTATCTGTGACCTGCAGGAGGAATTGTTTGCCTCAGGACTGCAGCTTAACTTTTATTTAGCGACTGTACTCCAGGGATAGACAGCTTTAGTCGCATTTGAGACCCATTGGCAAGAGGTGTTGTTTTTGACAGCCTGGATACATGAGTTGCATTAATTATTTAAAAACAAGGAGTCTGCGGGTGAGAATGGGTCACGCTGTTACTGAAACAAACAGCTCCAGCTTGGCTGAAAGCTTGTGTCATCCAGTTCAGTTCGATGGACTCGATGGCTTCCTCCTATGCTGTAATTTGTGTTGGAAAATGGAAATAATGTGATGTGTAAATTAACACCTAAGATCCTAATTAACATATGCAATCATAGTGATCTTATGATGTAGGCAGGATGCATGGAATTCTCAGTTTGGGTCGGATACTCCTAAGCATGGTGAGGTGTTTCCACATGTGACAATAATGACAATAAAACCACATATTAACTGGTGCCTGGGTATTCTGGAGGCTCCCCCAACATTCTTCTAGGACTCAACATTTATGTCTATTTACTAGGCAGCTTACTTTTATGTGTCACCAGTGAACCTTGCCATTCCAGGGAAAGGGGAGGAAGTTGAGTGTTCAGCGGTGGTTGTTAAGCAGCAGTGCCACTTCCTCTAAGCTGCTAACCTAAATTAATACAATACAAAAATACAATTTGTATTTATTTATCACCTTTCACATCGGGAGGACGTCTCAAAACGCTTGACATTGCTGGCTGAGCACCCGAGCTCGGAGGTGAGAGCTAAAGGGGGAGGAGAGGGGAAAAAACACTGAAAATGTGATCAAAGAAGTGAGACAGGCTTTGAGTGTGGCTGGAACGAGTCAAAGGGAGTTTATAATTGAGAATTGATTTTCTCATAAACTCCAGAATTCTGTGATTATGACTCAAGGGAACATTTCAACTCGAACTTTATTCAGAGTAAGAAAGGGTTTTCTTAAGCTGGTGTGATGTATATGATGTCATTCCAGGTGGAAACCCAGTCAGATTCCTCAATGAGTTACATAGAATCTATACACTGAAATAAACCACTTGGTCAAAATAGTTCATGCTGGTGTTTAAACCACATCCAAATGGACACCATCTCACCCATTGAATTTGCCAAGGCAAACTTAAGAGCATAAAGTGTGGAAGCAAGAAGAGTCAATTCACACTCCTTTCACAGACCATGCAAAACCTACTCTATTCTGAATCCCACCTATCACTCTCATCTCCTGGCTAAACTATTGCTTGCATGTGCACAGTCATGGGAATGTGAAAGGACTCCTAGGTTTAACACATATAATTTGCATTAGCTCTCTATTGGTAATAACCCTCTGGATATGAAACACAGATGTTCTCTAAATCCAACATTAATATGCAAACCATAAAACCACAGAGCAGTGGGAAGCAAGTTTGTAACTGGTAAATGTCACACATGGTTCCTCAGCTGTTATATAGAGATACAGAGGAAGAACTTCTGCAGGTAGCCCAGAGAGCAATTGCTGTATAATGTGCTATTGTACACATTCTAATTAAAAGCACAATGGCATAACAGAGACCTGGAAAGAGGCTGTCTATCTTCTTGCCTGCCCTCATAAGTGTAAGTATTACAAAGTGAACCTAAGTTGATGAAAAACTATCTTTTTAAATGATAAAAAAGATTCTTCTTTCCTTCTATGAATCAGCTCTTCACATATTTTGAGATTTTCATGGTTAACAGTGAGACACAGATGAATGGCTAACACACAGTGTAGTGTGGAGCTGCTTGGTAAGTGGGATGGATTGCAGTTTACGAACAACCACAGGAACTTGCAAATCTTTTAATAAAAAAGACTGGAGGCTAAGTTTTGTTCAAAAATGCTAACTGTCAAGGAGATCTGGCTTGTGACCATCTCCAATCACTGGGAAAAGGATAAAGGTCACTGCATGATATCATAAACAAACCACATGTTGTTCTTGAGGTACAGGGAACACTGCAATTAGAAGGCCTTTTCATTCTGTCCATCCAGACACCCATCATGACACCATCAAGCTGTTTCTTAAATGAGTCAAGTTTCCAGCTGGCCTCCAGCGCTCTTCGTAGTAACCCATTTCAACTGCCAAAATAAATACTCATTGGTGTCTGCTTTAAAATTATCCTTCACAATTTTTTTTAATATTGTGCCTTTCCTATCAGATGAACATCTCAAAGTGTTTCACCCGATACACTGTACAATGTACAATGCCCACAAATATATGGTCAATTCACTTTACAGCGTATTCTGTAAAGCGCTTTGAGACATCTAGAAGGCATGAAAAGCGCTATATCAAATGCAAGTATTATTATTATAATGTAGTTACTATGTAATTTTTGTAGGGAAATGCAGCAGCTTTTGTGCGCAGGGCAATGTCCCAAAAACAGCCATGACCAGTTTTATTTGGGGAATTGATTTGGCCAAGACACCAGGAGAAACTCCATGGGATCTATCCATGGAACTTTTAGTGTTTGTCCTAAACAGGCAGACTGCACCTCAATTTGACATCTCATCAGAAAGTTGCCACCTCCAACAAAGCAGTGCACGCCCAGCAATGTGTCATTTGACATTGGAGTGTCAACCTCGAGTGTCAATTCAAAGTACTGAAGTGAGATTTGAACCCACAAAGTTCTGACTCAGAGGCGGAAGTGCTGGAAACCGAGCTAGGCTGACAGCAGAATCCTAAAGATGTGCCCTATTGTCTTGACACATCTAATTTATTGCGTTTTTTTCATCTCAATTGTATTCAGCAGTTTAAACATCTCTTTAAATTTATTGCCGGTCATAACATATTTTATATTTTATGAATGTTTTATATATGTCTCAGTCCCCTACCTAAGCCTCCTTCAGGAACCGTTGATTTTATTGCAGACTGAAGTGATAGCCTGTGCGCCAACAACATAAATCAAACTCTTTTAAACTCCTGTGCCTTCTGGTAATGTGAGCAGCTTTGCTTTTAGTTGGCAACAGCCTGGCAGGGCTTTTTAAGGATCTGGTCATATGACATGTGGCTGCAGAAAGGAAATACAGGAGTGTTATTGTCCCAATGTGAAGGGCATGAGTTGTTGTTGTTTGTTGTTGTATATAAGGAGCTCTCTGGGTCTGGGATCCAAAATCTATAGCACCCTGTCCCCCAACTCACCATAAAAACACACCACAGGCACAGACACAGCAACACACTGGAGTAAATGAGCCCACAGAGAAAAGACTCTAGTTTCCTGAATGAGTTGGCCCTATTCCCCTGTGTCTTGGTCAAATGCTGCCTTCGGGTGCCCCAAGTTGACCACCAAACAGAATAATAGGTTGAAAATAAAATGAGGGCTGAAGAGATGGGGCTTGGGTGGAGGGGAGGTGCTGATGGATTGAGCATAGCTCAGGGCTGTTGAGATTGGAGATCACATGGCAGCAGAGAGAGAGAGAGAGAGAGAGATTGCTGTGTGCAATCACACACACACACACATCAGTTTCCTGCAGTTTCCTCTTTCACTTTCTGTTAGTTAGAAGCGTGTGCAGCCCCTGTGCTGCTCTGCCAGTCTCTCTCTCTCTCTCACACACACACACAGTCTGGTTGCAGTGATGGGGGTCTCTGCTCTGCTCCTCTCTGTGCTCTCTCTGTTTGCAGTGAATGCAGCTCTCGCTGACACTCCTGCGAACTGTTCCTACGAGGCTCTGCCTGGTACCTGGATTTTCCAGGTGGGCCACCAAGGTCAGGGGAAAGACATCAACTGCAACAACATGGGTAAGTTGCACACTTCATGCTTGGGGAATTCCTATTTATTCTTGCTTTTAAAAACTTCCCCAGGTTTGTGTTCGTTCATCTGCAAGGTATTTCCTTTTTAGTAATGTTTATTTTAAGCAACAGAACAGACCTTCCTCCCCTCCCTTTTATATTTTAAAAGTAAGTGACTCAATGCCTGTTTTGGGGAAGAATAAAAGTTGGATTAAACAAAAAACTTCCAAAAGGACTGCCACAGAATGGTGGATAAAAGTTTATTTTAGTTGCGCTGTCAGCAGTTAGAACCTTTCAGATGGTTTTGAAGTTCCTATTTCTCTCTGCACTTCCCCCTCCGATAAAATCATGTGAGCATGACAGATCAGCAAGATGTTTCTGTGAGTAGTTGGACAAGAAGAAATTTGTTCCATCCCTGGTCTGTTCTGCATTAGCTGGTCTGAGCTGGTGGAGCCAGATGTGCTGCGGTTGGCCTTAGTGTTCAATTTAGGGAATGAAACCTCAGCAAGTTTCCTGTTCCTCATTGCTATCCAGAGACCTTAGCAGGAGAAATACTTGGATGAATAATAATTTTTGCGTTCACATTGTTGATGCGCCTCAGAGAGCTTCATTTGGTTTTATTGTAAAGTGCAATCAATGATTGTATATTTGAATGCAGTAGATAATTTGTGTACAGCAATGTCCTTCAAACAGCCATGAAGTGAATACTAATAATAATCCTATTGCGTCTTATAACATCTTCAAGACGTCTCAAAGTGCTTCACAAAATATAGTGTAAAGTGAACTGACTGTATTTTGTGGGCTAATGGCGGCAGCCAATTTTGCATAGCAGTGTCCCACAAACAGTCGTAGTTTGAGAGGCCCAAATTATTATTCAAAAAACATTTTTTTTTGACAGAGGCATGTGGAGTAAGGAAACTTTACCAACGTTTCGTCCTGCCAGGAATCAAACCCGGGCCCTCTCACTTGCGAGGCAAATACTCTAACCAATACGCTACGGAACTCCACCTTCCACCCCGTCCACATGACCGGTTTTATTTGGTGGAGTTTATTTGCTGAACCCCGATTTGAACAATTTTGCTTTGATTCAAATCGCAGTTCTCGCGTCAGAAACATCAAGCCTCACATTAAAAGTCCCTTGGTTAAATTTGCATCTTAAACAGATACAATTTGTAACAATTCAAGCAGCACATCAAAGGTCCCTGGCGATTAAGTTTTACCGAACCCTGCCCCAAGAAAATTTCCACCTGCTAGCGAGGTGCTTCTTTTTGTACCACAGTGCTCAAGGAAATAATTCAGAAAGTCCTGAGAAGACAGGTGTTAAGCGGTGCCTGAAGGTGGCAAAGAAATTGGCTAAAAATCAGCTTTTTTAAACAAATCTACAGCCTTTTTGCTGAACATCTACCGCTTTTTTTTCTTCTGCAATGTTGGCAGGTATGGAAGTGGAATTTAAAGATGGCTAAAGAGGAAGCAAGGCTCAGACAGGAAGTTTCAGAGGTTAGGGGTGATGATTTAAAGAGAATACATTGCTAGAGTAGCATTTTGAATTTAGTCAGGACGGCCTTGGGAAGGGAGGAGTGATACTAGTGCAGTTCATTATCAGCTAAAGACTTGTGAAGCAATTTTTGTCAGTAAAGTTTACATATCTGGTTAAGTATTGTTACATTTACATTCATGTGGCAGCTCACCTTTGAACACATTTTATACATGCAGATAAGTCCTGTTACAACAAGACTGTTAGCCATTCCATTTATATACAGCATTCATTTAATTATGGTTAGAGCTGTAATGTTAGTTCGGTAACTTTTAGGGAAAATCCTGAATTAGTTATAACTTTTTGAATTGTATTAAAAGTGACAAAGGTTCATCTATATTTTGTATAAAAGAATTACCTTTATTTTACTCTCTTTACGTTGTTTTACCAATGTGTCCACTCCCTCCCCTCAGTGGCCTCTGGCCTGCTACACGTCCCCCGCCTTGCCTGCCCCACCAGACGGGTCTTCAGCCTCTCTGCTCACCACCCTCTGGAACTCCATCCCACAGTCCCTCCACCTTACCCCTCCGTTGCCTCCTTCAAGACCCATCTCAAGACTCCCCTCTTCAACCATGCCTTCGGTCACACTCCTACCCTTACCCTTCCCGTCCTCCACCCCTTCTAATTCCAAGCACAAGTTCAGGATCCCTGACTGTCCAGCGCCTTCGGACGTCCTCCTGACGTAAAAGGTGCTACACAAATGTAATTTGTTGCTGTTCTGCAATCACAAACTGATTAGCAGCTATTATGCAAAAAACATTTCCTTTGTCTCTTAAACCTTATTAGCCAAAGAAAACAGAATTGGGATTTCAATAAGATGTATGAGATGGAGTTAAAAATTGTTTACTGGCTTTTGAGGAGTAGGTTTCAATAGATGAACCACCGTACGTATTAAGTACTGGAAAGGTTTATTGTGACAATGTATCTGCTCACTTTACTATTGTCACAACATAAACAGCCGTGGGGTTACTCTTGGTTTTTGGATGAAAAACCTATTTATCTCTTACTTAAGCAGAGTGATGTTATTGCAGTCTGCATCCTTCCACACAAACACTCACATCACCAATTGCTGCAAGCAAGAAAAAAGCAATTTCTGGAGTTGGATGTCAATCAGTTTGACTGGTACTTTATAGGTGAAACTTGACAGCCAATTGTACATAGCAATATCCCACAAGCAGCCATGGAGCGAGTGAACAATTTTACTTTGGGCGATTTGCTGAGCGGAGGAAGCGGACGGGTTGGTAGGGGGTTAGGAGGTCACAGAGGGAGGGGGGGGAAAGGCCATGGAGGGCTTTGTAGGTGAGGACCAGGATCTTGAACTGGATCCTCTGAAGGATAGGGAGCCAATGGAGTCGGGCGAGAGGGGGGAGATGGGGTCACGGACTTTGGTGTGGGAGAGGACACTGGCTGCAGAATTCTGGATTATCTGCAGCCTGTGGAGGGAGGAGTTGGGAAGGCCGACAAGCAGGGCATTTGCATAGTCGGGCCTGGAGGTGATGAATGCATGAACAAGAGCTTCAGTGGCCTGAGGGGTGAGGTAGTTGCGGAGTCGGACGATGTTACGGAGGTGAGGAAAGACAGAGCGGATCATGGCTTGAATCTGGGGAAGAAAAAACAACAACAAAATTACGTTTGTATAGCGGCTTTCGCATCGGGAGGACATCTCCTGCCTCCTGCCCTTTCACCATATCCCTAAACACCTCTGCTTACCAAATGTTCATCTACCTCCTTAAATAGTTCTTGCAATTGATCTACATCTATAAAAATCCCAAAAAAAAAATTCACAGAGGTACAGACCTAGAGCTGGGGGAAAAATAAAATCCAGTCAGTGTGGAACTGGGCAGTGATAAAATCCAGTCAGTTGTCGTTCAGTATTGTGGTAATTTCAGCAAATTGGAAAAATACACTTCACAGAATTAGTGTGATATTTTTAATGTGGTTTCTTCAACAATTCCTTTTAATGGTCCCTTACCAGTGATTTTGCTAAATTGGGTTTTCTCTGAACAATTTTACATATATATATATATATATATACATAATAGATACATACCACTCAGGTACTGTTTGCTGGGCAGCCAAAGCCCAAATGGGTATGAGCTTGACAAGCAATGGGAAGCATTGTTTTGAATGGCAAACTATGCGGCTTTAGCTGCTTAATCTTCTGCAGAGCCCCCAAAACAGACTTTGGAGTCCCAAACCCTGGCTATTTTCATTCTGTGCCTCATTCAACAACTTGCCCTCCACGGACAGTAGCGTCTCAGAGTGCTTAAAGCTAATACTCTGTGGAATTAGATAAGGCGGGTGCATCCCTGCAGTACTCCCAACAGTTTAGGATTCAGAAGCACAATTTTATAGATGGTGGAACTAGGGAGACTAGTGAAGAGTGCTTTTGAATAGTGTAGGTGAGAGGAAGCAAAAGCGTGACAATTTAATATTTCCAATCAATGAAGCGTTTTTTCAAATTACCCCCAGGGATAATGAAGGAACTTTCTGAGTTTAGGAATGCTGACAATCACTGACTGTATTTAAGTCGTAGTTTCATTTTTTTTTGAAACTCTTCCAATTTTATTGAGCTAAATAATTCACTTTGACTTTTTTTTAAAAAAAGCCTTTAGATTTCATGTTTTTTTTCATTGCCTTAGTTTTATGATTTAGTAATAGTGTTATTAGGTTTCAGCGGTTTGTTCTTAGCTTTCCAAATTGAAAGGCATTTTGGGCAATGTACAAGAAGTCATGAAGAAGCACGAGGCTCTTGAATGTTGCCACTTAGAAAATAAGCGTTACTTAGCAAAAGAACCCAAAAAGTGGAGACTATCTTTTAATCTGTATCATTGCACACAGTTCCTTCTCAGCTTGAAAGTTATGTTCGCATGTAATATAAGGCATTATGTAACGCGTCTAACACAAGGCATTATATATTCAAGAATCAAAAGATTATTATTCATATTTGAAATGGAAAATTAGAGTCTAGCTGCAAAAACTAAAGCATTTTGTCAATATTTTTTCCCCCCGTATGTAAAGGTACTCCTGTGAAAAGTGTGAGTGTACATCTCCGGAAGCTTGATGTTGCAGAAGATGAATTTGGGAACAGTGGTACGTTCACCTTGATTTACAACCAAGGTTTCGAAGTGATTCTCGGCGACTACAAGTGGTTTGCCTTTTTTAAGGTACATCTGTCGTTTTCCTGAAAATATTAAGCCTATTTAAGGGTGGTAGACAAGTAGGCGTATCGGAAGTGATGTGAATCAGTATTATTGGATCTGGAATTTCTTTTGAATTTCCTGGGAGGAAGAGTTATCTTATACTAATTGACACTCTTTACCACAATCCTCACCAGACTCCACTGTCTCCCAGCTGATTGTTTTCAAAGTCGTCACCTTCATCTATAAATCCCTTCAGGCCCAGCACATCCTGATCCCTCTGCTCACCTTCCACTCGGCTAACTCGGGCTTGTTGTGTGTCCCCTCCACCATTGTTGGCTGAAGTTCAGATACTCTGTTCTTAACCTAGAAACTCCCTCTCTTTACCCTGACACCTAATGGACCTTTCTAACCTGTCTCCAAATCCCCCCTTAAAATCTCTCTCTCCAATGGCCAATGGCCACCTCCCTTTTCCCCCGCCTTCTGCTCACCCTTTCTCTTGCTCGGGGTCTGACCCCGTCTATGTAAACCGCTCCAAGACATTATCAAAGCAAAGGGCATTATATAACTGTAAGTTGTTGTTTCCTAAAATGTAATCTTTTTGTTACATCTGTCTAATGGGAAGAGCTCCCTAGGGATCAGCTTGGGATAAACACCTGGAAGAACTTTTATAGAGCCTTTCATGGGGAGATGAGATGGGTTGAGTAGACAATCCAAGAAATTGAATTGACCTGATCATGGGCACGTCTTGATGGACAGTGTAACTATTTCTTGTTAAGAGCTTCCTTATACATTATTATGATTGTGAATTCAACTGAATAATGTCATCATCGGTACTATTAACAACTAAACCATCGCAATGAGCTACGATTAATTATCTTAGCAACTTTTGTCCCTTGTGTTTGTATTTCAAACTGATGTTAATATACAGCGACGTAACTTTGGAATAAACAAGTAACCAACCTAATGGGATGGAGTGGCGCTGTCAGCAGTCAACCTTAGAGTTAAAATAATACAATAATTTAGCTTCCTAACTCAGCAATTCTTTCAAGCTGTTCCTTCCAAACATTCCATCTATTTTGTTCATGTCAAGCTGTTTTATTTAGAGTGTAGATGGGCAGCAGCCTTCACTCTAATAGATAATAATAATAATTTGGTCACTCAATCCACGACTGTTTGTGGGACACTGCTGTGTGCAATTGGCTGCCGCATTTCACCCACAAAATATACGGTCAAAACACTTTATATTCTGTGAAATGCTTTGAGATGTCTTGAAGATGTGATAAGGCCCTATGTCAAATCAAAGTATTATCATTACTGAATACCTGGTGGGGTAGTTTGGGGTGGGTGGGGGGGGTGCATTTTTCAGCATGTACTGATTAAACTCTGTCACTGACTACAGAAGTATTGCAACGTGAATGGCGCTATACAAATGTAATTTTGTTTTTTTTAATATATATGGATTGAATTTTAACTGGAAGGCCTGCATGTTAATGTTAGTTCAGATCCAATGAATACATAATCTTGCAATTGGCTGCCATGCTCACCTGCTTCAATTACACAGTTACTACACTTCACAGAAAGCTCTGTGAAGCGCTTTGAGATATTTTTGGTATTGGAGGTTATATATAAATGCACAAATTCTTATTAATTGCACAAATTGAAATTATTTTGTTTCCCTTTTATCAGTACAAAAAAGTGGGTGAGAACGTAACCAGTTATTGCGATGAAACACTCCCTGGATGGGTGCACGATGGACTTGGTCGGAACTGGGCATGCTTTGTGGGCAAGAAAAAGTCTTCCCAAAATATCCAAACAAATATTGTACCCTCAGATAAGCATCTACTAAGGTAGGTGCTTAATAGTGAGTGAAATTCGATGAGAATCGAATGTGTCACCCTCGATTCTATTCTCGTACCAGTCCTGAATGTGATGAGCATGAATTCCTCAAAGGTTGAAGATATACTTAAGAGCGCTCTGAATACAATGTGACCCCACAACACTCTATAATGATTGTGGATGTGCTGCACAAAGACACCTTTAAATTAGTTCTGTTTTGAGCTAATGTCTCACAGGATTTATAGCGCATCTGCACCTCAGGCACTGGCATCATCAGCATCCACGGATGTACACTCCACCTCACCTGGCCAGTCAGGAACCTAGTCGTCTTGTTCGACCCTCAATTGTGCTTTCTCCCCCACATCTGTGCCATGACCTGCTCTGCCTTTCCCCACCTCCGCAACATTACCCGACTCCGCCATTGCCTTCCCAAATCTTCTCTCCACAACCTGCAGCTCATCCAGAACTCTGCAGCTTGTATCTACTCCTGCACCAGGCTCAGTGAACCCTTCACACCCACCCTCGCCCGACTCCACTGGCCCCTTATCAACCTGTCCGCACCCTCCACCCAGCTCCGGCCTGCTCCATGTACCCCTCCGGGCCACCCTGCCCCCTACCCCACCATCGGCAGTCGGGCCTTCAGTCTCTCTGCCCCCACCCTCTGGAACTCCATCCCATATTCCGGTCACCTCGCTCCCTCCCTTGTCTCTTTCAAGGCTGAAGACCCTCCCCTTCAACTATGCCTTCGGCCTTCCTTCCTTCTCTGCCCTCCACCCTCCCTGATCCCAATCCTCCCATCTCCCCCCCCGCCCCCACCCCCCCGGGTCCTAATTCTTGACTGTTCAGTGCCTTGGGATGTTCTCCCAACGTGAAAGGAGCTTTACAAATGTAATTGTTGCAAATTGTATTGTATAACGGAAAACTAAACTGAAAGTTTCTTAAAGGTAGAAGATGATTAGCTGAAGTTTTGGACGAAAGGGCTTAAGTATACATTGCACCACAGATTTCCTGCTTTCTTAATAGGATTGAAAATGTGATATTCACACACATAACTATGGTTGGCATTTTGCTTTCAGGTCAGGCAAGAATTGAGAAAGCAAAATCAGATGTCAAGCAGCCATGCGATTATGTTTCAATCAAATATATTGTCCAATTGCCCAATTTCAGTTACTGGCTGAAATTTGTATTTAGTACAGTGGTTGCATTATTTTAAATAACACTTTTTCACCACCAAGAGATTATATGATTTCCATCATGATGGATAATCACAGTAAACATCATCTTGAATCTGCATTCAATTTAAGTGCTGAAATAGAAAATTAGATTTTTTTGACAAATAAATCCATACTGAGAAATAATAGCTCAAAATACTTGAAATTCTCATTTTATGAGTTGCTGATCTTACTTAGGATCGAAACAGAAATGGCATTCTGTTCAATACTGAGGGGTTATTCATTATAAACTATTATAAACTTACCAACTTTCTTATAATCTCATATGGGATAGTGCAGAATAGTTTGCCTACTGCAAACATTGTTGAGCACACCAGCAAGTGAAGAATGAGCCTTTTCGAGTTGATGAGGTAATGTGCTTTTCTCCTTCCGAACTGCTCAAACTCATTTACAAAGATTTACAAAAATGTTCGGCACGGAAACAGGCTATTTATCCCAACTAGTCTTAGCCGATGTTAATACTCCACACGAGTCTCTACCCACTCCTCGCTCCCTCCTATAACCTTCTATTCTCCTCTCCCTCACGTGAAGGTCCAGCTTCCTCTTGAATATATCTCTACTACCTTATTCACAATCACGCTTAGTCTCTTTTGGTTCAGTTTCCATTGGCCAAAGGTGAAATTTCATTCGAACTTTTTCCCTTGGAAAGACCTATCAACTATATTTTTAGGGGGATAAAAACATTGAACTATATGCTGCAGAAAAGTCCTGATATTTGCAATGAAAAATAAATGTATTTGCAAATTTCTGAAATGCTACCAAAGACATTAGGGTTGAAACTCCAGCGAGGAAGCAATTAGAGTGACCATATATAAACAGACTATTTTGTGGTATGAAATTCAGGGATTGTCAAACAGTTACCTTAGGATAGAAAGAAAATTATAGGCTGGAAAATCAAGCCACCTGAATAGCCTGTTGAAGCCTAGGAACTGGTACAGGAGGATTACCAGATGCAGTCATCTGCCAGAAAAACTGAGCAGGATTTTCCACAGCCATTTTAGTATGTCCTGGGCATGCTCAGTTAAGGAAATGAGGCCCACAATTTGCCAATTTCTCCTTTACTCTGTCATGTATTGGTCTGCATGCTCTATGCTGTGTCATGCACATACTAAATAAACAAAGGAAAATCTGTTTTTCACTTCCTGAAATCACATAGTGAAATAATATGCTAATTTAACTTTTTTTAAAGTGTCCTTTCAGTTTGGAAGCTGAAAGACCGATTTAACACTGTCTAAGTTAATTAGGGAGTAGTATTATTTTTTGTTGGCCATTGAAACCTAACGCAAAGCAGCAGTGTATGCTTGTCATGTCCACTGAATCTGTTATCAATTTCACCTATCAACATGCCATCCAATGCTGTCTTATTGTGATATGATAAGAAAATACAGTATGAAGAAATCAGTACTGAAAGTCTTTGCTTTGTATAAAATAATACAGGCTGGAGCGTAAGGCTTTTGAAAACATCTCAACCATCTTTCACTGTTTCTCTTTGTTTTCAAAATCATCCTTAAAACTTGCCTCTTAAAGGGTTTCTCTTCACATTCTCTTACCCATCACCCTCCCCTCCCCCCACACCAGCCCTTTCACCCTATTCAAGTGCAAGTTTTTGTTGTTAAACACCCATAACTGACTTTTACCACATCTGTAATAGTACCCAGTATGGAGCAATCCCTGTTTCGTTCTTTGGCACTTTTGAAAGACAGTTTGTTGATTCAGGTTCACTAGGGGAAGTGAACCCATTCTAGGGTTGGCCAGGCACCTTAGAGATAGTATCAATGCATCTAAACACATCACAGTTTCCCCTGGAATCCTTTCATTCTGAAATCCACCCACTTTCACATTTCAGACTGTTCGTGGGACACTGCTGTGTGTAATTGGCTGCCGCATTTCGCCCACATATATACGGTCAATTCACTTTGCAGTCTAGTCTGTGAAGCGTTTTGAGATGTCGAGAAAACGGGAAAAGTGCTATATCAAATGCAAGGATTCTTATTATTATAAAAGGTAAGGCAGAGAATTTGGCAGCAAATTTGGATGCAATTTGAGATGAGTTCGAAATGGTGCAAAAATCTATGATCGGTATTGTAGTGCATCGGGTATTATATACAATAGGGGTATTAATGTCCTGTGGGACTGTTTCAAAATAACAACAACTTGGATTTATATAGCACATTTCACACTGAGTAGTGTCTTGGAAAGGTTAACTATGAACTTGACACTAACCCGGGGAGAGTGACCAAAGTACCATTGGATTTGTTAAACTATTTGCAGTCAAATCTTGCATTCTCGACCAGTGGGTCTGGGTTCAAACATTTGAAGTAACTTCATATTTAATTTTGAAAAACATTTGTAACATTTTAGAATTGTAATTCTGCCTTTTTTGAACATTTCCCAACAGCTAGGAGCGTTATAATGTCAACATGGCTTCATATTTCGTGTTACTGGAATCCTGTAGCTTAGTGGTTAGAGCACTCGCTTTGCAAGTTCAATTCCAGGCAGGGCAAAACCTTGGGCAAGTTTCCTTACACCACACCCATAATAATAATCCCTCCAAAACCCAAAACAATAATAAAATTGGTCATTTTTAATCTACGACCGTTTGTCGGACATTGCTGTGCGCAATTGGCTGTTGCGTTCGCCCACAAATATACAGTCAATTCACTTTACAGTGTGTTCTGTGAAGCGCTTTGGGACGTCCTCCCGACGTGAAAAGCGCTATATCAAATGCAAGGATTATTATTATTATTAGATAAGTTTGCACTTGAATGTTGTGGAGCAATTAAATCTTTTGTGTTTGAAATGTACACCCTGTTCCCTGTTGTATTCCCTGTGGGATTATATTGTATTAAGGTATTTCTTTGTAATTTGTTTTTGTGGTTGGAGTTTGTTTCTGGTTACCCTACAGATTACAGAATTTTTTTCATGTCAGCTGGGTGTCTGACACATACTAAACCCATCACCATGCTTAATAATATCCAAACCAAGCTGAGATTTCCAATGCATCCCACATATACATGGAAATTCCAGAGATAGATTGTTGGAATGGAATGCACACTCTCTCCCTGGAGGGATGCATCCTGCTTACCTAATTCTGGAAAGTATTAGGTGCAGGTTGACAAGAGCCAAGGCTTGGGGACCCCAGAGTGTGAATTGGGGTACTGTTGGAGTCTGACCACTAAAACTGCATAGCTTGCCTTTGATATCATTGTCTAGCAATCTTTCCCACTTCTCCAGTTAGGACCACGCTACCTGTTAGGTCTTCGGCTTGCAGGGTTTACAGGAGCTGAGTGGGATGATTCCCTGTCCCCAGTGATTACAGAACATTATGCAGTGTGGCAGTAATAATAAATAATCCTTGCATTTTGTATAGTGCCTTTCTTGTCAGGAGAACGTTTAAATGTACTTCGCAGAACATCTCAGAAGAGGGTCCACTACTGCATCAGTGTGATGCTTTCTGCTATCCACACCAGCCAGCCTGTGACCTTTCTGAGGCAGACTGTCAATTCAGTGCTGAACTAAAGGCCTTCTGTTGTTTTTTAATTCAGTGTCATGTTTGCAAATAAACATTTGTGAAGATAATCCTTTAAAACGTTCCCCCTAACCCAAAGATTGTTGACTAAACTGTGAATGGAAGAAAGACTTTTTGCTTTGCTTATTTTATTTTTAGGATGGACTTTGCTTAAGGATCACTTTAATGACTTGCCTTGTCTCAACAGGTTGTCACAAAGACTATATCAGCCTAATGTGGATTTTATGAAAGCCATAAACACTGTTCAAAAATCATGGACAGCAACAATTTATGATGAGTATGAAACGCTAACTATAGGAGATTTGACCAGACGGGCCGGTGGTCATAGCTCAAGAATTCCAAGGTGAGATTTTGAGATATTTACAGTAGTATTGCTGCCTGGTACTCTTTCTGTGACAAATTGTTTTAAACATCTGTGAAATTCTGAAATTGTCCAAAGAGAAAATGTTAGATTTTGGTTCTGGTTTACTTTCCCAATCCCATTTATTAACTTATATACTTTCTATAATGTCTCTTTTGAAGGAGTAAAGACCCTTTGTTTGTCTCGTCATTCCTCATAGTTCATTCTTCTAATGCTGATCATCCTCATTCCTCTCCTCTGTTTACATGGCCTGCAAAGCCAACCCCCCCCCCCCCCACCTTGTGACACAGACATTAGAACTGTGCACAGTACTTCATTAATGACCAGAGCACCGTACAACTAGATTACACTTCTGGGGATCCATGGATCTGACGGTATAGGCTCACATTCCATTTGCCTTGTTTCTTACCTCTGTGCACTTTTTGATGTAGTAAGTGCTGATTCAACTGAGAGCCCTAAGTCTCCTTCATCCTCCACTTTGGCAGATTCTATAACATCAGTAGACCACATATATCTCCTATTTTTCTATTCTATGTTGAGTAGCTAATATTTGCCTATATTGAAGTTAATTTGCTAGTGATAGGTTGAAGTACATAATGCATTAAGCTCTCTTTATAAGATCTTGGTTGCTTCCTTAGATTCCAGTTTTCCTAAACCTTGTATACTCTACAGGTGTAACTACGTCAGCTGAGTCTATGAAAGCTGGTCATTAATGTATATGCAAAGAAAAAGCAAGGATCCCTGATGTAGCCAACTTTATATATCTATCTCTCTCTATCCCACACCCCCCGCCCACATATACAATATTTCTATCTCCCATACTGTACTTTAAAATTATGCAGCTGTATTCTACCTGGATCTAGATTTACTCGATATCCTTTCAAAGCATGTAGAATTTGGCAAATTGGTGAATTCAATCTTTAACTTTTCTTAAAAGAACATACAGAAAAACAGAAAACTAGTTTTAACATTAAGAACAAAAACAGAAGTTGCTAGTAACACTCAGCCAGCAGGTCAGGCAGCATTTATGCAGATGCTGCCTCCATAGGAGATGCTGCCTGATGTGCTGAGTTTACCCTGTGTCATCCGCAGACACACGGTAAACTTACATACATATACGGATGACACACAAATCTACTTTGTCTCCTCCAGTACCAACTCCAGGTCTGCCAATGTTCTATTAACTTGTCTGGCAGACATCAAGGCCTGGAAGAGTGTAAACTTCCTACAGCTGAATATGGACAAGATAGAGGCCATACTCCTTGGCTCCCGTCAACATCTTCACTCCTGGGGATCTAAACTCCTCAATCTCCCTGGGCTCTCCCTCAGACTCACCGAATCAGTGCGCAACCTAGGCGTCCGGTTCGACCGTCAACTGTCCTTCCTCCCCCACAATTGGTACCTTACCAGGACGCCTTCTTCCACCTCCGCCACATTGCCCGCCTCCGACCGCACCTTACCCCAAATGCAGTTGAAACCCTTGTGCATCATTTGTTACCTCCCGCTTGGATTACTCCAACGCACTCCTCACCAGTTTCCCAGCTCCACCAGTCACAAGATCCAGCTCATTCAAAACTCTTGCCGCCTGCATACTGACCCGGACCAAATTCCGTACCCACATCTCACCAGTTCTGGCCAGGCTCCACTGGCTCCCCATCACAGAAGGGATCGACTTCAAGATCCTCACACTTGTGTTCAAATCCATTCACTCCCTGGCACCTCCCTACCTCTCCAACCTCCTCACTCCCCAAACACCACCAGGCGCCTCTGCTCGACTGGCATCAGTTTCCTGTTCGTCCCTCGCACCCTCCACCATACCATTGGAGATCATGCTTTTAGCCACTACACCCAAAAACTCTGGCACGCTCTCCCTCAATCTCTCCACCTTGCCCCCTCCCCTCTTTCATATCCCGCCTGAAAACTTTCCTCTTCGACCTCCTGTGGTCACTCACCTAGCAAGAGGAGCTTACAGCCACCTCACCCCGGAGTCAGACTCCGCCACTGTTAAGAACTTCGAGATGCTGCCCTGCGTGGAGGGCGCAATATAAGTACAAGTTGTTGAGTGTTCCCAGCGACTCATGTTTTTGTTTCAGATTTCCAGCATTTGCAGTATTTTGCATTTTGTTTAACATTAAGAATATCTCCCCCATTGTATTGGTTTCTATTTTATTACTTGGGAATTGTGATTAGTGATAAGATTTTTTTTTTCCCCCTCCCTAAAATATAATCAGACGACCTAAACCGGCAGCTGTAACTGAGGAGTTCCAAAAGCTTGCAGAGCATTTGCCAGAATCTTGGGACTGGAGGAACATTAATGGAGTAAATTACGTCAGTCCTGTTCGTAATCAAGGTACGATCTATTTGAGAGTGTGAATCATTAACTCGAGGGAACAACACACAAGACTTCTTCAATACCTTCCTGTCCCACCATCCAATCTCGACCATCTTAAAATCTCCAGCTCTTCCAAATTTGGACATTTGGTAGAGTCCTATAGTTTAGTGGGTAGAGCACTCACCTAGCAAGCGAGAGGATACAGGTTTGATTCCTGGGCAGGTTGAAACATTAGGCAAGTTTCCTCACTCCACACTCCTCTGTCTAAGCAGTGAATAGGAACCCAGTTGTTAATCAATTGGTGGATCATTTTCCGGGGAAATAATCCCTTAAAATAAATGAATAAATTGGTCACTCAATCCATGACTGTTTGTGGGACACTGCTGTGTGTAATTGGTGGTCTCATTTGACTCACAAAATATACACTTTACAGTATTTCTGTGAAACGCTTTGAGACATCTCAACGATGTGATAAGGCGCGATATCAAACAGAAGGATTATTATTATAATTATTTTCTATCTGCCCATTTTCCGCTGGCATTTAATCACCCATCCTTTTTGAACTTCGCCATCTTCGTATTTCAGATATTGACTGAGTGTTTGGCAATTTGATATTCGCAAACTAAGCACTTGTAATACACCCAGCAAATCTGCTTTGCAAATGTTGCATGTATAATCTATGCAGATATTTTTGTAGCAAGTATAGTGGATGCTGATGGGATTTTTCAATTTACATTTACTTGACGTAAATATTTCATAACTGGAGCAAACTGTGCAGGCAATTTATACAGTTGTTATATTTTAAGCTGTGACACAAGACCAGAATTTACATGTTAGAATTGGTAAGACCAAATTAAGTCTGAGCTCTACCATGTCTTATTTATTTTAAAAACCCACAGGTCACATTTTCAAACTAGATAAGCAATATATAATTGGTTTGGAACTATCAGTCCCGCTGATCAAATAACCTAGTTTTTTTTTCTTTCTCCCCTTGAGTCATGCAATCACTACTTTTGATTTTGTTTTTCAAAATCCTCATTTCCATCTGTACGTTTCCCCTCTTGAGAGGATTGTTAGAAGTCTCAGTGGAAAATTATTCATCTCCTATGTAATAGCCGCAGGTGATGCTGAACTGTGTGGCTTCTCATCTGCAACTTCCTTCTTTTGATGTCTTGTGAAGGGTTGGTGTGCCCCTGAGGATGAGCTGCTGGTTTGCTGTGTAAAATTCTGGAGTGAACTTTCACAACAGGCTTCCTCTAGGCTTGCTTTTCTGATTTCTCCCCTCCCAATGCCCCCATTCGCATTGCCCTCCAAAATGCCTACTGCCTCCCAAATAAAGCTCTCACTATCCTGGGTAAGCACATTGTCAGGCTCAAGGAAATTTGTCACTCCCCCCGGTGACCCTGTCGCCCTCTTCGAAGCTTCTCCACCAGACCACACTATTCACCCCCAACCACCCCAACCAACTCTGAACAGGGCTTCCTCTGCCTGCTCATCCTCCTGGACCTCTCTGACGCATTTGACACAGTCAGTCACGCAATCCTCCTCAACCGCCTCTCCTCCCTCATTCACCTTAGTAGGACCACATTCGCCAGCTTCGACTCCTACCTAACAAACCACCTTCACTTTGTTTCTGCTAACAGTTTCTCCTGTGCCCTGTGGGGTGCTCCTGGGCTCCAGCCTTGGCCCCCTCCTTTTCCTCATCTACATGCTCCCTTTTTGTGGTGTCGCACAAAGAAAGTCATTTTCTGCACAGAAAGAGGGTATTTAGCTCATTGTGTCTGTCCTACACATCTGCACACATGCAAAGATGCATGTCAACTGCTTCATTTACTTTTGGATTTGTGCCACTTCTCTCTCGAGTACATGTGCTGGTTCCAGAATTGAGCCTGTGATGTTATGGGATCATTCAGTAGCTTATATCATGCCACGCTGTGTGCCCAAGTTATGTATGTCCCTACACTGTGTGCAATTTTATTGTGGCATTTTGAGTACAGTATGTACTTGACTCAGGTCATTTGTCGGGATGAACAAAGACCATGGATAGAACCGTGAAGCTGCCCGGTCTGTATGGCTTATTTTTGCCCTGTCAATGGCTTTGCCATGTGAACCCTCAGGCGAGCTGACAAGATCCTGTTCTGAAAATAGTGGACGGTTACAACAAGAGCAAGGGAACTGGCTTGGAGGAGTTGTTGAGTCTAGCTGTGTGAAGCTGAATTAACGAAGACAGCTGAAGCAGAAAAGCCTTGGGGTTAATGACACTCTCGCAGTGTCAGATTCTGTAACTTCTCCAAACCAGTTTCTCAATCCTGCCTTCACGCTGCAGGTACCAGTTGGTGGTGTGAGTGGGCAACACCAACCATTGTCTTCCCACTGCTTTTCACTTGAGCAAAGCAGAACTCAGACCAATGGTCACGTTTTAATGTCAGTGAAGAGCAAACATGACAAACATCAAATATGTAAAATCCAAAGATTTTGGGAGTTTGAAATGCTGATTTCAGTCAGTGTGAAGCTCTGAAGGAACACAATGAAAGTATTCCAGCGATTAAGACTACTATTTGAGATGGCCCATTCACCTTTGCCAAAAATTCTGGACATATTTTGATCAGTGACAGAGTTACACCACTGTCTGTAATGTATAAACCACAACACATTGACTAATACTAGTGTGACTGGCCTAGCGTGTGTGTGTGTTTAAGTATTCAAATCAGCCTGAAGCATTTTATGTGTATAATATACCACTTGCGTGGCCATTCAGAGTGGGTCATGAACGTAACTAACTACAGGGAAACTCTGATATAACACTGGTCAGTGTGTCATCAAATGCATTATAAGCAATGGGGAGAAAAATGGCCAACTTGTCTGTGTACAAGAAACTTGCTTTCATTATGAAGTGATGTCAGCTGCGCTTCCTGTACATTGTACAGGAAGTGATATCATGATTAACTGTGAGGTACAGCGGGCCTCCAGGGGTGACAAGCGGCTTCTTCTGCTCAAAATTGCTGACTTCCAGGTCGTCAAGTTAATCATTGATGTTACTTCCTCAATCAATCGTTGATGGCACTTGACACCGTCTACAAGCACGTCAGTCTATAATGAAGGATTGCTTATAATAAACCCTAAAGCCCCACCATAATGGTAGTTCCCTGTATTACAGAAATTCAGTAGCAGTTTGCGCACTTTTCAGGTGGCTGCAAGGTGAAGCTGAGCAGGAGAGGGTACTGCTAAAGCAAATAGTTTTTGTGGCAAAACCTCCCTGCCTCGGAGGAGGAAGGCAGCAATGTACATCAAGACCACATGAATGTGCCAATGCATGGGCAAATGGGGGTTTCAAATGTAATGATGAGCTTCATGCGGTCCTTCAGATAAGAATAGGAAACATAATTGGCTAGGAGATCCCTTAACCGTTCGGCAGGCTGGTGTTTTTCTGCATTTATACAATGTAGATTATGTTAAAAGCTGAAGAAAGATAGCATAGATATTTGTGACTATTTGGTCAACCATATTCTACACTACATTACTGGCTGTTTAATGCATTCAAGCAACTATTTTGCATTAGTGCATGACCTCTCTTTTTCTCCCACTGCAGGTGCCTGTGGCAGTTGCTATTCCTTTTCCTCCATGGGGATGCTGGAGTCTCGTATCCGTATCCTAACACAAAATATGCAGACGCCAATCCTCAGCACACAACAGATCATCTCCTGCAGTAATTATTCTCAAGGTAATTCATTTGAAGCCAGTGTAGGTTTTAAGTGTTTGTTTTCATTTGTTTTTGGTACTGTGGTTGATAAAACCTGTGCAGAGAAATGCCAATCTCTTTATAGTGGAATGATAGCACTAAGAGGTTTCAAAGCCACCAATCCAGCTCCCTCAAAACAGTGAGGTCTTTTCTGACGTTTAAAAAAAATGTTTACATTTAATATGGTGCTTATCATGTTGGGAGGACATCTCAAAGTGCTTCGTAGGTCATTCTGTAAAGTGTAATGACTGTTTATTTTGTAAGCAAATATGGCAGCTAATTTAAACAAGCAATGTCCCACGAACAGCCATGAAGTGAATTATCTATTCACTTCATGGCTGTTCGTGGGGAATTGTTGGTCAGAACATTGAGAGAACCCTCCTCTTTTTGAACAATGTCTTGGAATCGTCAACGTCCACCTAGGACTTTGGGTTAATGTCTCATCCAAAAGATGACCCCTCCAGCATAGCGCTGGAGTGTCAGCCTAGACTGTGAGTTTAAAGTGCTGATTAGAAGTGTTTGGATCTAAAAGCGCTACAGTTACAGTAAAGAATAACTTTTAGCGACAGAGGCACAGGAGTTGGCTGTTTGGCCCATCAAGTATAAGATTACTCTTTAATTCCATTCTCCTGCCCTATTTCAACAACAACAACAAAATGACATTCGTATAGCGTCTTTCACATCAGGATGACGTCCTAAGGCGCTGAAGGTTTCAATATCATTTAATATCCTTACTGGCGAATTATCCGTATATATCTCCCTTGAATGTCTCAATTGGATCTGTATTGGCTTTTGAGTTAAGGGCCGTAATCCAAAGATCAATGAATAAGAAAACACTTCCTGTTGACATTTTGGAATAGTGCTGGATAGAATCCTTCAAATAGTAGAGAAATGCTGGTTGCTACTGGTTACGTCCACCTCACTATACATATGGCGGCGATCTTAAGCATGCACTTCTCACCAGGTTCATTTCTCAGCTTCTCCTGAAATTGGTTTGCTTCTATTTTAGGAACTAGCCCTCTTGAACAGGTACAAATTCACATTTTTTTAGTTCAAACATCATACTTGGTGTCAGCCTGGCTAACTTAGTAACATTCTTGCCTCTGGGTCAGAATGTTGTGGTTCAATGTTCAATGAGCTGATGTTGTGAATTCCTATGTCAGTACTTTCTCAGTGCCTCTCAGCCTGGGGATTGTTGTCTTAACATCTCCAAAACGTGTGGAGTCTCATAGCGTAGTTATTAGCACAGTCACCTCGCAAGCGAGTGGACTTGGGTTCGATTTCCAGGCAGGACGAAACCTTAGGCAAGTTTGCTTACTCTACAACAGTAAGTAGGAATCCGGTTGTTAGTCAATTGGTGGCTCACTTTCCGGGGGTAATAATTCTTCAAAAAAAAAATGGTCACTCAATCCACAACTGTTTGTGGGACACTGCTGTGTGCAATTCGCTACAGCGTTTTGTCCATAAAGACACAGTCAATCCACTTTACTATATATTCTTTGAAGCGATTTGAGAAGTCTCAACGGCGTGATCACATGCAGGGATTATTATTATTATTTCAAACTCAAAACGTAGACAGACACTCCAGTGTAATGATGGGGAGGTGCTGCAGTGTTGGTGATGCTGTCCTTTTAGATGAGATGTTAAACAAAAGTCCCATCTACCTGTTCAGGTGGACATTAAATGTCTCATGGAACTCATGAACCCCCAGTGTCCTGACCATCAATCCTTCAGATAAATTAATAATTAATCTCATGGCTATTTATATTAATCCTATTTCTCGAATTTGATATAGCACCTTATCATGCAACCTTCTGACTCGAGGCAAGAGTGCTATAAACTGAGCCATGCTGGCATGGCTTTGTGGGACATTGCCATGTGAAAATTGGCTGCTGTGTTGTCTACAGTTCTGTGAAGCGCTTTGGGACGTCCTACCGACGTGAAAAGCGCTATACCAAATGCAAGGATTATTATTATTATTATTACAGATAAACAGGCAGCACACGTCACAGAAACTTTGAAGTGTTTTGAGACATTCCTCACATTAAAGATGATGCATCAAATGCAAGAATTATATTATCAACAACAAGCGTGCAGATATGGGTGTTAATGCAAGTAGTCAAACTAACTCTCATAATTTATTCCCCTCAGGGTGTGATGGAGGCTTTCCTTACCTGATTGCTGGAAAGTATGCCCAAGATTTTGGTCTGGTCGAGGAGCATTGCTTCCCTTACATTGGAAAGGATACTCCATGCAAAATGAAGGAGTCTTGCTACCACTATTACGCTTCTGACTACTATTATGTGGGTGGGTTTTATGGGGCTTGCAATGAAGCACTGATGAAGGAGGAGCTGATAAAAAATGGCCCAGTGTCTGTCGCTTTAGAAGTTTATAGTGATTTCCTGCATTACCGTGGCGGAATCTATCACCACACTGGGTTAAGGGATTCGTTCAATCCCTTTGAGCTCACCAATCATGCAGTGCTACTGGTCGGCTATGGTAGTGATCCATCTACAAAGGAGAAGTATTGGATAATAAAGAACAGCTGGGGAGCACACTGGGGTGAAAATGGTTATATCCGAATCCGTCGGGGTTGTGATGAATGTGCAGTTGAAAGTCTTGCTATTGCAGCTACCCTGATCCCACAATTGTAAGAGATAAACAAGTCTGTTAGTAAGACAAAATGGGACAGTGTGAAATTAATTGGATCAAATCAATTACTTTTTTAATCATGCAGTGCAACAAATCATTTCTATACACGTAATGACGATACAAATGATCTTTACAAACTTAATTTTTAAATGAAATGATTTTCACTCAGAACGAGGACTGAATGGCTTTTCTATACTCTTAGAATTTCTTAAAATTTTTGTGCTTCTGGAAGGTTTGTTAATTGTTCGAAGTGGCAGTATCCAGTTTATGGGGGTGGTGGACAGTTCCTTTCATCAATGAAAAACTCTGTGGAGATTTTGTTTTATTCAGGTGAAAACTCATAATGGTAAATGAAATTATTTTCTTCAAAATTAAATTCAGCAAAAGTTATTTCCTATGATAAATTCATTCAGGACAGTGAGAATCATTGGTCTTGCACTTTTAAAAGTACCTTGGGTGGTTCTAAAGATTTAGCTATCCCTCTAGTGCTGTAAAAATACTCCCAACTGCTTAATGCAGTGTGTTTTAGTAAGGATACCTCTGTGGTTTGCTGCATTGAAACATGCACATGCTGGGAATTCTTATCATTCTAAAATGAAATCTTAGNTTTTTTTAAAAAGCAGAATCTTATCTACCTACTATCCTTTTAAGGACAATATATTAGAAGCCACAAATATACATGTTAATTGAAAAAAGTGATTTGCTCATCTTGACTGCTAGCCATATTTCAATTTTAGATTATCACTTCTGGCTAGTTGTGGTGCTTTATGCTTTTTTTAATCTAGGTTTTAGGATTATGCAAAATCAAGAATATGTATGTTGTAAAGGATATCCACCTAAAAATAGAGGAAGACGAGGCATTTTGAGTTGCTTGTATCTGTAAGATGCTTTGAATTTCTTTAAAAGGGAGCAAGTTTGCAATGATCAGAGGTGCAATACTACAGATTTGTAAACTACTTTCCTATAGCATAGCCTAGTTATCAAATAACAGTTCCTTAAGGATGAACTCTACACAATAACTCAGTCATTCACAGTAAATCACATTTGCCTACAATTTGGAATAAAATGGATGGACTAATACGAATTAGCTGAAGTGAGCTGAGTTCTCAGAATAGAGAAATAGATTTAAATAGAGCTTAATGATTCCTGAAAATTGCATGGAGAGTCTATGATTACTTGACCCCAGTCAGTGGGTTCAGATTTACTTGACGGCTTTTTATCTCATTGTTTAATTTGTGCATAAGCAACGTTTGAAAATGCAGAATAGAGCAACGAATTTATCCTGCGTGTTCTGGCTTTGTATTTTGTATGTTGCTGTCTTTTTCAAAACTGCAGGAATGTCTGCAGGTGAGTGTACACAAGAACTAATCAATAAGAAAATGATAATTGCAAATTAAAATCCCTTGATTAAATTCCATGGAATATTTTACACAATTTATTTACTATTATGTGTTTCAAACAGAAACCCAAATCAATTAAATGACTTCTGCACTCTGATTCCTTCAAATCATTGTATTGTCTGGTTATTGCTGCAGTGCAGGCTTTTCACAGGAGGGGGGGAAAAAAACATCCATAACATCCTCCAGCTTGCTAGCAATCCTATGTTATGTGTGTGATGCGAAAAATCAATGCTATGTTAATGTTTTCGCAAACAATTTTCTGATCCAAAGTGTAACTTGGTGATTTTACAAAACTGCCGTCAACACAATAAAAATGTTTGTGTGCATGTGACCCATCAAAAGTGAAGCTTATGTGCTTTATCGAGTTCTCTGCCCACCCTCACAACACTACCACCCCTTCCCTCGTACTCACTTTTGGCACAATTTGTTTGAATACAAACTAGACCAGAGTTCAAATAGAGAAAAATGAAATCAGTTAGTTGGAGTTGCATGAGATTGAAGTAAAGAACCATTATATCAATCTATTCATATGTGTTTAAAATGTGTGTACACTGTGTACATATATAATCCCAATAGTAATCTTTACATTTGGTAAAGTACATTTCACACAGGGAGAACATCCAAAAGGCCTTCACAGGATATATTGTAAAGTGCAGTGACTTTGTTTTGTGGGTGAACATGTACACTACATATACATGTAGATTTTGTGTGCACATGTATGTAGTACATTTTAAAATAAAAAAAGTGCATGGTTCAAAAATATGTATATAGATGCACAGAAACATCTGCAGGTGATCCTTACAGCACACCTTTTCAGCAGCAAGACACTTCAGGAAACCTTGCTGCCTCAGGAAGGAAACTGTCTCTATTTACAGATGTGTCAATAGTGTCTCATGCTGAAATAATGAAGCTTTTCTAAATCTAAAATAGTAATTTCTCCCTAAGCAAAATACATGGCAGGCGGGGGACAGGAGACGGGGGGCGGGAGAGAGGAGGCTGGAGAAGGGAGAGGAGGCTGGAGGGGAAGAGGAGGCTGGAGGGGGAGAATAGGTGCTAGAAAGGAGAGGTTGAAGGGGGGAAGAGGAGGGGGAGAGGAAGCTGGCGGGGGGAGAGGAGGCTGGAGGGGGGAAGAGGAGGGGGGAAGAGGCTGGAAGGGGGAAGAGGAGGGGGAGAAGAGGCTGGAGGTGGGAAGAGGAAGGGGAGAGGAGGCTGGAGGGGGAAGAGGAGAGGGAGAGGAAGCTAGCGGGGTGAGAGGAGGCTGGAGGGGGAAGAGGAGGGGGAGAGGGGGCTGGAGGGGGAGAGGAGGCTGGAGGGGGAAGCGGAGGGGAGAGGAGGCTGGAGGGGGGAAGCGGAGGGGGAGAGGAGGCTGGAGGGGGAAGAGGAGAGGGAGAGGAAGCTGGCGGGGGGAGAGGAGGCTGGAGGGGGGAAGCGGAGGGGGAGAGGAGGCTGGAGGGGGAAGCGGAGGGGGAGAGGAGGCTGGAGGGGGAAGAGGAGAGGGAGAGGAAGCTGGCGGGGTGAGAGGAGGCTGGAGGGGGAAGAGGAGGGGGAGAGGGGGCTGGAGGGGGAAGCGGAGGGGGAGAGGAGGCTGGAGGGGGAAGCGGAGGGGGAGAGGAGGCTGGAGGGGGGAAGCGGAGAGGGAGAGGAGGCTGGAGGGGGAAGTGGAGGGGGAGAGGAGGCTGGCGGGGTGAGAGGAGGCTGGAGGGGGAAGAGGAGGGGGAGAGGGGGCTGGAGGGGGGAAGAGGAGGGGGAGAGGAGGCTGGAGGGGGGAAGCGGAGGGGGAGAGGAGGCTGGAGGGGGAAGCGGAGGGGGAGAGGAGGCTGGAGGGGGAAGAGGAGAGGGAGAGGAAGCTGGCGGGGTGAGAGGAGGCTGGAGGGGAAGAGGAGGGGGAGAGGGGCTGGAGGGGGGAAGAGGAGGGGGAGAGGAGGCTGGAGGGGGGAAGCGGAGGGGGAGAGGAGGCTTGAGGGGGGAAGCGGAGGGGGAGAGGAGGCTGGAGAGGGGAAGCGGATGGGGAGAGGAGGCTGGAGGGGGGAAGCGGAGGGGGAGAGGAGGCTGGAGGGGGGAAGCGGAGGGGGAGAGGAGGCTGGAGGGGGAAGAGGAGGGGGAAAGGAGGCTGGAGGGGGGAAGAGAAGAATAGAGGTGGGAGAAGAGGCTGGAGGGGGAAGAGGCGGTGAGAGGGGAAAGAGGAGGTGAGAGGCGGGAGAGCAGGTGAGGGGGGAGAGAAGGCTGGGGATGGGTGGAGGGGGAATATTTCTAAACCTCGCACCAAAAGCATTATAGAGTTTCAATGTGATGTGCAATCAATGGTATTTTTCTCATTCTCTGGGTTGTAATACAAAACCGTATCCAAGAGCTTTCCAAAATGATGTAAAGGTTTTTCAAACATACAAACACTTCCATTCGTTTGAGTATCTCATTAAATCTCAACATCTGAACGCATATCATACGATGAGCTACTTTGTGACTGTTATGTAGGCATTATGACCACATTGTTTAGATTGAGCATTACTGCACAGTATTGGGATATGGAAAAAAACATTATGTCTTACTCAAGTCCGTAATTCCCTTGTTACAAGTGAAAGGTCTGTTGGGTACTCCCCAATGGGAAAATGGATCTGTTTAAGGACTGCATTTTATTGCTCAAAAAGCAGCCTTTCAGCAGCCAAACAGTGGTGCCAGTGCTGCTCCCTGCTGTCTGAAGTGTGATTTCTAATTTATGAGACAACCTGTGCAGAATAATAGTTTCAGGTGCAAAGGAAAAAAATGATGAAATTCATCTGAACATGTTCTCTAAATAAGACTGAGCATTAAAAAGAGTAATGTTGTGTACCATCTTGCATTCTAAGGTACTTGTCTAAAAGGATGTTAAGTTTTATTGTACATTCTGCACACAATGTAGTTTGTTCATTGCATTTAATCTCATGCTAACATACAAACTTATATCTCCCCTCTGGCTTTCACGCTGAATGAAGGTTTAAAGATAGGATTGTTTGATAAGCTAGGATTCAAGTACTTTGAGACGTCTTCCCAATGTGCAAGGCAGGCACTACATAAATATAAATTGTATTGAACTTGTATAATATTTCAATGTCTCAAAGATCTTCACAAGTAATTACTCTCAAGCATATGTAATCGTGGCAGCCTATTGTACCAGCAAGGTCCTACAAATAACTATGAGATGATGAACCAATTAATATGGAGAATTGTTGGCTAGGATTCTTTTTAATACTAACTACTACGATGAATTACTTATACGTATACAGACTAGCTTGATGGCCTGGTTTCTATCTATATATTGCATTGAAATAAAAGAGCGGCTATAATTTTTTCAAATTATTCCTAATACTCATGTGCTACATTAAACTGGAAGGTAATCCTTCTAATCACTTTAGCTTTGATCTTCATAGTTTGAAACCAGGGTGTCACAGTATACAGCTCAGGTTGTTACAGAATAACTCAATGCCTGACAAGGCAAAAGCATCAATCGAAGTTCACTGTACTCATTTTCACGTGTGTAATGTACAATTTGCTTAGTTTTGTATCGAATAACAGTACCCAGAGAGAGGACAATAAGAATTACATGTCAGAAAAATACTGCAGCAAAACTAAGTAAAATCAGCAGATATTGAAGACTATTTGTTCGCACGCAGTGATCACTTTTTATAACAAAATAATAAAATAAAATAATAAAGGCACAAATAATAATAAGTATTTTTGGTTAGAATGGATAACTCACAGATTAGTTGGTACTTGTTAAGATTCATGCAGGAGAATTGTGTCTGGCTTGAAGTACAGCTGAACCAGGAAACATATAAGATGTTTGGGTGGATAGCTTCATTGCTCATTGCACTGTACACCTCAAATAAATTAAGTATACATAAATAGCTCAAACTTTGCATTAAGTGTGAGTAACTCTGTTCAAGTTTTTCATTGAGAAGGTCAGAGATTGAACTGAATGAGAGATTGAATCAAGGAGCGCACTTAATGCTTGTGCAGAGTATTATGTCTATTTATATCTGTACTGTATTATGCAGGTGTCAGCACTGGCTCAGTTGGTAGGATTCTTGCGTCTGAATCAGAAGGTTGTCGGTTCAAGTTCCACGTCAGGACTTTGAACTCATATACTCTATTCAGAAAGAGAAAGGAGTTGTCTCCCACTGTCCTGGCCAACAATCTGTGACATTTAAACAGTCATTCACTTCATGGCTGTTTGTGGGAATTAGCTGTGTGCAAAATTGGCTGCAGCATTCACCTACAAAATACAGTCACTACACCCTTCTCTGTATTTTGTGAAGTGTTTTGGAATGCGTTAAGCAATGAGTTAAGCAATGACTATCTCCAAGACAAAGTAAATGTTAGGGTTGCACAGCTTTAATTCACATTAAAGGGAGATGGAAGCATTAGTATAAAGTGATGGGGGCTATTAAAGCTTTTGATCGTCAATATTAAAATCAAATTAAATAAATAAAACAATTTTTTCACAGTATTTGGTATAATCAGAATAGAAACATAGAAATCTGCTTCATAGGCCCACAATGGAGTCTTTTAGCTCAATGGTTAGAGCATTCGCCTTGCAAGCGAGACACCTGGGTTCAATTCCAGGCAGGGCGAAACCTTGGGCAAGTTTCCTTACTCCACACGCCTAATAATAATCCCTCCAAAAACAAAAGCAATAATAAATTGGTCATTTGCTGCGTTTTGCCCACAAATATTCGGTCAATTCACTTTACAGTCTATTCTGTGAAATGCTTTGAGACGTCGAGAAGACATGAAAAGCGCTATATCAAATGCAAATTGTCACATCCTGACAATTCTGGGTGAAAAAAATTCCTTCTAAATTCGGTTATTGGGATTTCTTATAACTATGTCTCATAGTCCCCTAATACTCAAGAAGCATGTTGCTTATACTGATGTTTTTTTTACCCAACAAATAGAAAAGGAGAGGGGATTTCCTGTCTGACTATTTAGTCCTTGTTACATTTTGAACAAGGGCCATATTCAACTGTTTAGTTGAAATACAGGAAGCCTCTATTTACAACACATGCATGTTTACCAGACATGGTTTATATATCAGGGGTATCAATGAAGTTGCTGTATAATATTAGCACACTCCAGTGTGCTAATATTATGTCTTATTTCTCAGTCCTGGTTTCTCACCTCTGCATTATTACAGAACTCTCCAAAGTGATCAGAAACCTTCAAATGTATAGTCCAAGGCCTAACATTTAATGGACACCTATTTCAAAATAGCTATAAAATAATAGTCATTCCATCTGATAAAGCATCTACAACATCAAAATATCTCATAGCGTTTCACAATTAATTCATTGAAAA